ACTAGATATCCAGGCTCAGAGGAGTCTCACCAGAGGTAAATATTCCATCTCTCATGAAGGCACCTTGATCCACTGAGTTTGCAACACCAGAACGTCCTGACTTTACTAGAAACTAAAAGGCAAAGGCTCAGACAAAAGGAGACAGAAAGAAATGCCACTGTCTTGAGAGCTGATCAAAATCCTCCTGTTTACCAGCTCCTGTGCCAATAAAAACAAACAAACCAACAAAACTGGAAAAGCTCCCTAATTAGCCACAAGGGAATGACTTGCCTTCCAATTCTTAATGAGTGGTGAAAAACATTCCACACTTCAGTAGGGGCAGGGCCATGTGAATCCTTTAGGCCTCCTAGGGGGGATCACACACAGGTTTTTTAAATCATTGCAGGCAAAACCTGATCAGCGGGAGCTTTGAGTCTTCTTCAGATGCTTCTGTAGAAAAGCTGTCCCTCTTGGAACTATAGATGGGCCAGTGCGTGCCAAGGAGATCCACTTCTGCCTAACATCTCCTTGAGAGTGCAGTGAACTGCACAGATCCAATACCAATGTTATACCCAGGGAAAGGATGATTAAAGAGGTAGGTAACACATGCCATTCATTCCTTATGAGCTTTAAAGATGAGTTTCTGCTTATGCTCTTTTTAGCTAAGATCTAGTTTTGTCCCAGCTAAAGAAATGGATCTAAAGGAAGCAACTCAGTTCAGGGTGTAATTACATGGAGATCTACAGCCATGAGTCAGATGAGATGGGTCAGCTGTTCTGGTGGGGCCTCTTACGATTTCTTACATTTTTCAAGGTTTCCAAGGGCTTAGTACTCCTCAGAGTCCTACCACAGTTTTTTCTACAGTGTTCATTAAGTTCTATCCTCATTTAAGTTCAGAAAACAATCCTTATACCACTCACACATGGAGAGTGAAGTCATATTGAAGGACAGTTAAGGAAGATTTTATCAGAAAATAGGAGAGAATGCAGTGATCAGGGGCTGGGCTCAGACAAGTGAACTCTCTGGCAGCTGCTTCCAGGGTCTAACAAGGCCCTTTTATAGCTCCATGTTCTATTTCTCATTCCCTTTCCCTACACAGTCCTTGGTAATTTTTCCTTAGTCCCACAAGCTCTTCTTGAATTGATCTCCCCAACTCCCCTGTCCTGCAGCTTGGCCCTGCAGAGTCCTTGCTTGTCCTGGCAGCCCACAGAGCACATCTTCCCTGGCAGCTCCAAGGTAAGGACAGGCGGGGCTTGAAATCGTCTCCACACTTTGCTGGGCACAGGCAGGGCAGGGGAGCTGTGGGGAAGAGCAGAGTCCTGGTGAGAGCTCCCAGGACCTCCCACCCACACCTGCTTGGGGAATATCTCCACACCCAGAGCTCTACCCCATGGGTGTATTTGCTGCTTTGCTGCAAGTGGCTGCATCATCCTGCCCCAGGATGGTCAGGTATTCCTAAACAGGATCCGGAGGCAGATGGCTGAGAACAGGAAAAGGACGGACAATCCTCAGACGAACATGGATGAGTTTTCCCTCTTTGGCCTGTTCACAGCCAGACCCAGCAGCATAAACTGTGTCCAGTTCTGGGCCCCTCAGTTCAGGAAGGACATTGAGGTGCTGGAGCAGGTCCAGAGGAGGGCAACAAGGCTGGTGAAGAGACTCAAGCACAAGTCCTGTGAGGAGAAGCTGAGGGAGCTGGGGCTGTTCAGCCTGGAGAAGAGGAGGCTCAGGGGAGACCTCATCACTTTCTACAACTCCCTGACAGGAGGGGGGAGCCAGGTGGGGGTTGGTCTCTTTTCCCAGGCAACTCTCAGCAAGACAAGAGGGCTGGGTCTCAGGTTGTGCCAGGGGAGGTTTAGGTTGGATATTAGAAAGAATTTCTTTACAGAGAGGGTGGTCAGACATTGGAATGGGCTGCCCAGGGAAGTGGTGTATTCTCCGTCCCTGGAGATTTTTAAAAAAAGACTGGATGTGGCATCAGTGCCATGGTCTAGTAACCGCAGCAGTAATGGATCAAGGGTTGGACTTGATGATCTCCAAGGTCCCTTCCAACCCAGCTGATTCCCTGATTCTATGAAAAGGAGTCTCCTCATGAAGAGACCCATCCCATTAAAAAGGTACCAGGGAGCAGGGAGAGAAATCCACACTGCACCTGAGGAAGGAGGATGGAAGTTGCTGCTTAGCATTCACTGTCTTTGGTCCTCTGGGGGCAACAACGGGAGGAATCCAAAACTCCCCAGAGCAGAGATTTTCAGGCTACCTGCTGCAGTTGCATTACCACCACAGTGAGTTTGGCTAACTCTGTGCCCTGGGCAGAGAAAATCAGTCACATTCCTCTCTGGTCTTGTTCCTTGCATTCCAAAAGAGCTCATATGAGGGTTTTTCAGGCTCTTCATGGGCAGGCAGTAGCTCAGGCCTCTGTGACAGAAGGTATCTCCTGGTTTTATGGTCTGAGGTGTGCTAGCCTGCCTAGAATTCCTCCCCAGATTAACCAGGTCTAGTGAGTGTGAAAGGAGCACAGAGACACCAGTTGATGGCTGCATCTCACACACCTCAGTGTGAGTGCACCTACTCTAGTGAGAGCAGACAAAGGATGATCTATTGCACTTGAAAATGTTTTTAGGAGCTTGTCTGGGAACACAGGCCTTAGATGTGAGCCCAAGTAAGTCATGAATCTTCCCCATGTTTTTGATGGCAACATTTTCTGGGTGCTGTGTCTGCAAAAGGAGCATTTCTTTGCACCAACAAGTGTCTTGGCAGGAAAACATCAGCCCTATTCTGAATCCGTGAAAGAGCACACAAGCAGGACTAACACAGTCCCAAATATGACTTCTCAGTATTCAGTTTACAAGCGGTACCTCCCTGCAGAGAGTACAGAACATTTGCCATCACACAGTGACTCGCACTGTGTCCCCCATGCTGAGTACTGCAAACAGTCACATAACCTCCTCTGTCTCCTTCACTATCCCTCAGAGGTGAGAGTGAGCTGGCAGAACAAAGTTGTGAGTTGTTGGGGGACATCTCTCAACTGAAATAACTTCTTGGACAACACTTCATTATAATGTGCTAAACCACTACCATGTGAGAAGGGACAGATTGGGTGTCTAATTTCCATTTAAAACACTATATTTTAAAACTAAGACTAGTGCAGGACCAGAAGTAGAGGATAAGTCCAGCGTTTTAGCCATCTGTTCTAACCCTTGTGCTCTCACTTCCTTTATGGCAAACCTCCCCTGCCACACCTCCTTTAGAGATCTCCTCTCTTTACATGCCTGACTGCAGACTCTGTTGCAGGACTTTGTTGAATCTGTGTGGTACCCTGTGCTGGCACCACCACATGGCCCCAAAGTGGCATATCTGGAAAGAGCAGGTGATCTGTAAGGGGCCCCTCTCCTCCACCATGACTGGTCTCTTCTGCTCACTGACGCCGGTCATGTAATCTGGGAAAAGTGTGAGTCAGTGACTGCACAGGGACAGGCTTCACAATCCAGATGGACCTGGAGAAGACAACAAATTCCTGACTCTGTGTGTGTGTGTGTGTGCGTATAGATATATATATATATATGTAAATATCGGAAATTCAGTGTTGTTTCACTCTAACCCACCCCAAGGGATTGATTATCAAGAACCTCAGTTTCCCTCAGTGGTGGGTTGTAATAACCCACCTGGTGCAACACTGTAGTCAAGCAAACCATTCCATCATGTCTCCATGACACCAACAAGTCACCCTACAACAAATCTCTGGGTTTCCCAGGACATTTGAAACTTCCTTTGACAATCTGCTTCTAACTGGAGAAAAAAGCAGTCAAGAGGCTCAGCAAACAGCAGGTGCTCCCTGTGCTGCTTCATCCCCTTGGCAGGATTGGTGTTGGAGCCAGGTAGAACCAGGAGAGAGCGGGGCATCCTGGGGAACATGGGAAAGGGGAGGAGCTGGAGCTGCAGGTCTTGGTGGGAAGGAGGAGAAGCCTTGGTGTCTGGGTGTGGTAAGAAGGGACCCACTAGTGGTGTTAAAAAGAGAGAGTGGCTCTTCCCCAGACCATGGTGGGAGAAGCGTAAGGGGAACCTTGTCCGGTCTGGATGACTCTGTGTGCCCAAACCCCTGCTGTGAGACTAATGGTGGCTTTGGGAACTCCTGCTTTGCACCCGGGCCCCACTCCCAGTTGTAGTGCAGGAAAGGCTGGCAGCCTGACTGGGGAGAGACAACATCCCTGCAAGACCTACAAAGAAGGTGAAAGGGAAGGCAGAGAGAGCTGAAATGCTGCAGAAGCAACCAACCGCCTGTAGCAGGAGGGCACAAAGACAGGTGGGTGAGGAACAGCCCCTCTGTGCCTGGGCTGAGGGACAGAGAGGCTGTAGCTGGAGATGTCTGGTGGCCAGAGGTTCAGCAGGGACAGGCGGCAGGAGGAACACGGGGGGTGTGAGGAGCAGCCTGTCCTACAGCCACCACCAGCACTACCAGCCCTGCCCCACGCAGAGGGACCCTCCTGGGCTCCAAGAGCCACCCTGCCAGGGAGGGCTCAGAGGTGCTGTGGATGCAGAAAGAGCTGCCAGTGCCACCCCCCCTCCGGTGTGACTGGGGAGATGGACTCCTCAGCCGGACACTGGTCGGGCTCCCCATCAGCTGCAGGGCGTTCTCAGAGGCTGAGGAGGGAACTGGTGTTTGGGGTGCAGCAAGGCAGGCCCTGAGGGCTGCTGGCTCTGCAGGAGCCAGGGACACCTTTGTCAGCTGCAAGGGACAGTCTCCTGGCAGGAGCCCACTGCCAGTGTCTGCCCCTTCCTTCCCTCTGGCAAGGCCCCTGGCTCTGCTCTGTGCCTGCCAGATCTCCCCACAGGGACACCTTTCTCTCTGGCAGCTGGGCAGGGTGTGGGGAGAGGGAAGGACCACACAGAGGTGCAGGCTGGGATGCAGCAGAACTTTAATGAGTTGAAAAGGTGGAAAGGAGGTGCTCTGAGTGGGCACCGTGGTGCAGGGAGCACCAGGGGCAGGTAGGAGGAGTCTCTGGCCCTTGGCCAGGGTGCAGTTGAGACCTTGGATGGGGCTTAGAGCATGATGACAGCCCAGGAGAGCAGAAGACACCAGAGAAGGGAGAGGGAAAGAAGTGGGGCAGAAACAGGGAACTCCAACAAGGCCCGTGTTTTCAGAGAGCCCAGGCAGCCCTCGTGCAGGGCAGGGGGAGCGACGGCTGCTCAGTCCCTCTGAAAGCCATGGCCAAGGTCTCCGTGCTCAGTCCATTTCCGTCTTCTGGGTTCCTGGGGGTCCTTCCGTGGGGTGTCAGCAGCAGCTTCAGCAGATTCTGCCGCAGTAGCGGTTGGTGATGCAGGAGAGGTCAAAGCCCCCGGAGTTGATGGGCACTCCGTCACAGCTGAGGATGCTGCCAACGGCAGCGGAGGTGGAGGATCCCACGGCGGTGTTCTGTGGGAAGGAGCTGAGGATGGGCCCGGGCAGAGTCACCACCACGGGGGAGGGTTCGATGACGACAGTGGAGCTCTGGCACTGCCTGACACAGCACTCATTGCAGCTGTTGGCCAGCGGGGTGGGGCCGCAGGGCTGGCAGCAAGGGTTGCAGGGCTGGCAGCAGGACATGTTCCTGGGGCTGCAGGTGCACCTGGGAGAGAAGAAAGGGAGAAGATGGGGGTGTAGGAGGAGCCGCCTGCCCACCAGGAGGGAGCCAAGACACGTGCTGGGCTGGGAGGCTCTGCAGGGATGACCACACCACTCTTGGCCTGACCCCTGGCACTGAGCAAGGAGAGCCAGGCCCAGGAGAACTCCTTCCTAGTCAAGAGCCCAGGAGTTCCCGCAGTTCCCTCAGCCCAGAACAAGCCCCTCTCCAAACCAAACCTTCTCTCCACTTCCCCTTCCAGCCCCAAGCCTGGAACAGCACAGAGCTTCCAACTCACTTGCTTCCAAAGGAGAAGAAGGACAATGAAGTGGGTCAGAGAGTGCAGAGCTGGGATGGCTTTTATACTGGTCCTGCACTGCCTCAGGTCCAGAGGAAGCCTCTCTGGAAGCAATAATTTTCTGAGAAGCTCATCTGAAATGCAAAACATTCCAGCTAATGAGACGGGCTGTGTTTTGGTTTCCTGCAAAGCTGCATTTTCATTTCCTTCTTTGGCCACTCATGATCCCCCTTGAAGGCTCCTTTTTGGAGCTGGGGAGGGAAGCCCATGGACTTGTGGGACAGGAGCTCATTTTAGTGGCAGCAGAAGATGAGTCCCAAGTGCCAGAGGCATCGCGTGCACTCTGGGGACGTTGGCTCGGGGCACTCCCGTGGGCTTGTTTGCAGCCCCGTGGGCAGGAAGGGCCCAGCTGCTCCCAGCTCTGGAATCTTCCCTCTGATGCCAAAAGGTCACTGAATGTGACAAAGTGCCACGTCCCCTCTCTCCCACCCTCCACTCTCTCTGGGATCGACACTGCTCGTTGTCTCTGCGGGTGTGTGATCAGCGCTGATGTTGTTGTCTCTCTTCCCCCTAATGCTGCTCGGAGGAACTCTTAGTGCTCTCGTTTGGACTCCTTCAGTCTCTGGACTCTCTCTGGCGCTTCCCTACCAACTCCTACAACCTCAGTGTGTCTTGGCCCTCGTCCTGTCCCAGGTCGATCCAGCCTTGCCCTCCCAAGAGGTTTCTCTGAGTCTCCTTGCACACATGAGCCCACAGCTGCCCACGTGCAGACAGGGCTGTTTGCTTGCCCCTGTGTGTGGATTGGAGCAGTGGGAAAGGAAATTCTGCATAGGCTTGAGGAACAATTCTTCTCCTGTGAGTGTGGCCAAGCTCAGCAGAGTTGCTCTGGCAGCTTGTGGAGTGTCTGTGAAAGTCCTTAGAGCCCTTCAAACCCCCACAGGGCAACGTCCTGATCAACATGCTCTTGTTGTGCCTGCTCTGAGCAGGAGGGTTAAACCGGACCATCTCCAGAGCTCCTTCCAACCGCAACAGTTCTGGAATTCAGGGTGATTGTCCTCTCATTGACCTTGATGCTCACGGTGCTGCTACACTTCTTTTCTGTGGAGGCAATGAGCTCCTTTTGGAGTTCTGCAGCCCAATTCGTGCTCCACCAGCGCACTTGGGCTGAGATGTTCCTGCTGTCAGTCATGGTTTACCACTGACCTCTGGCCTGTGCCAGCCCAAGGGTCTCCAGTGTCATGCAGGGAAAGGTCTGTGCCATTTTGGTGGCAGTTGTGAGGGCTGGGACCATTCTGACCTTCTGGTCACCAGTGGTTCTCACCCTAAATATTTACAAGTGTAGCCCCAGAGTCACTCTGTTCTTCTGAGAGGGGCTGCCTGTGCTGAGAGCTCCTGGCCTCATTTGCTCCTTGTCTAAAAGAATGGCGACAATTTCCTCATGTGCTCCCTGGCCTCACGGTGCTGTGATGGGGAGATTCATCTCTCCAGCTGGCAGCAGATGAGAGATGAGATACACAAGGCATTGAAACTGGGCTGTGCTTGTGCTGGCCTTGTTAGCATCACCCCTGATCTCACACCCACCACTCCCAGCCTCTCCTGGGACAGAGGAGTGTCCGTGTCCAACAGACCTGGTGCTGTCTCTGCTCAGCCAATGGACGTGGAGCCCAAACAAGCAGAAGGCAAAGGAAACAGTAGGAAAGCTGGGAAATGGAGGAGTGGCATTGGCCAGGATGTGCAAGGATGGTGCAGGAGTGGGAGTGAGCAATTGAGGACAGTTCCCTTGAGGAGCCAGGAAGGTGAGATGGAGAAGGAGGAGTTGTAGCAACAGTAGGCAATGACCTGCACACCAGATAGGAAACTTGGGGGGGAGAAAAGGGAAGGCAAGGCAAGGCCAAGGAAAATCAAGGGAAAGGAAGGGCAAAGTAAGGCAGGGCAAGGGAAGGGAAGGTGTAGAGGTCTGACAAGGATTATTGTTCATGAGGTGTTTTCCATCCACAGGGATATCTAGGCTATGTCAGGAATTGTGTGGGTGTAACAACTCTGCGAGAGATTACCCTGATGAAACAAGTAATTGGCAGGCAGTGTGGGTGATTGCCTTGATCACAGAGTACGTGGCTTCTGTGGTGAAGAGGTGGCTGCTCTGGAGGTGCAAGGTGGGGCAACTCAGCTCAGGCTTCCTTGGGGCAAGGTTCTCAGTGGTGGGACTCCGTGGGTATCTCATTCTGCCCCCAGCAGGACCACATGGCAAGGAAAGTCCACCTCACTCTAAAGGGATGCTCACAAGGCAGGGGAGCTGGGAAGGTGCTTGTCAGCTGCTGTTCAGAGACAGAACTCTCTGGTCAAAACCACTGGCATTGGTCCCAGTTTTTCCATGGCAGCCCCTCCACTTTGTGGTGATGGCAATGGGTAGTTCTGATATGCAAAGGTCTGGAGAAGAGTCGTGGTGTAACCCCAGTTGTCATCTCAGCCCACACAACAATCACTGCCTACACCAGGGTGGGACGGGGGAGGGAATCGGAGCAATAAAAGGGAGAAAACCCACGAGTGGAGATAAAGATGGGTAATAGGTAAAGTAAAAGCTGTGCACACAAGCAAAGCAAATCCAGGGATTCATTCAGCACTTCCCAAGTGCATGCAGGTGTTCAGCCATTCCCAGGACAGCAGGGATCTATCCTGCAAAATGGTTAAATGGGAAGACAAATGGCATCACTCCAAACATCCCTGCCATGCTTCTTCCCGCAGCTTGATATGCTCAGCACAATGTCACAGGACGTGGAATATCCTTTTGGACAGTTGTGACCTGCTGTCCCAGCTGTGTCCCCTCCCCACTTCTTGTGCACCCACAATCTACTCACTGGTGGGTGATGGTTCTGATAAGCAGAAATGGCCTTGATGTTGTGTAAGCACCGATCAGCAATAACAAATTATCTGTTTGATCAACACTGTTTTCAGAACCAATCACAAATGTAGGCCCAGACCAGCTACTGGGAATTACATGAACTCTATCCCAGCCTAAACACTCTCAAGAAGTCCTAAAGAGGAGGATCTATTTGGTGTGGGGATCAACAATAAATCCATGGCTACTCAATTCTGCAGTATAGACAGTTCCATATTGGACGTCATTTGCAGTCTTCCTGGCATTCCCAGTGTGCTGTCTTTACCTCTTCCATACAAATTACAACCTGTGTCATGAGCAGTGCATTCAGCTCACTGACCTTCTTTTAGGTAGGAAAGAGAGAGCTGTCCTGTGAGCAGAAAGCCTTAGGAAGAGGGAGATAGAGCTGGATATTCCCAGAAGGGCTGGATGGAGAGGGCAAGGTCAGGATTTGGATTGGTGTCCCGATGCAGGAGAACATCTGTTCTAACCCTTGTGCTCTCACTTCTCTTCCTTTATGGGAAACCTCCCCTGCCACACCTGCTTTAGAGGTCTCCTCTCTCCTGACTGCAAAGACTCTGTTGCAGGACTTTGTCGAATATTTCCCATCCTCACCCAGTAGTCCTCGTTCATCACAGACAGTTGCCTGGCAGTCAAAACCAAAGCACTGCCTGCAACACAAAGCATGCAGCCAGGTGTTCGTCCACTGGAGGAGTTCTTTTCTACTCAAGCCTTTCAAATTTGGGCCCTCACACCCTTCGATCTCCCCAGAGCTCTACAGTCACTCTGGAAACACTTGGGGCATTATCACTGGAGCCCACATCAAAGAGCAGAAAATGGCAATACTCCAAAGGCAGGACAAGCTCAGCAGCCCTTCTGCAACACGTTGCATCTGCCCTCTGGCAAACAAGAGACCTCCTAAGACATCAGGTCTGGTCAGTAGGCTGGTGCTTAAGATTCCTAAGAGAGGGAGTCTCCTGAAGATGCCACGGCTATTTTCTCCTTCATGAAGGAAAAATGATTCAAGCACAGCTCCCTCTGATGAATCCCCAATGTCGTTTTGTCCTCACCAGTTTGCAGGTGACAGCACCTGTTCTGAAGTCAAAGTCTACAGCTAGAGCAGGAGCCTTTTGTCTATTGCCCAAACTCACCAACTTCCAGCCTTCCTCACCCCGACGACCTCCCTGGGCTACCTGCTTGGCCATGGTCTCCACCTGCCCTGCCTTGCTCTGTGTGGCTGAAGCTCTTCACCCCAAGGACACGGGCACCAGCACACAGCACTGGAAGCAGATCCACTCAAGGTTTCCCTGCACAAGGTGGGCAGGATTTCTTGCCATTTCTCCCTTGACCCAAAGAGAATGCTCTTTGGAGCTTCTGAACACTGAGGAGGGAAGAGGCAGCCTTGCCTGCAGGCAGTGCTGAAGAACACCAACCATGGGGATGATCACCACATCCTGTTGTGATGAGAGCCAAGTATGTACAGACTTTCCCAAGCTCATGGGCAGGGCGTTGCATGCAAATTTGTCCATGACATGCATTCAAAGAAATAGATCACACACAAAATGCACCCATCAAGCAAAAATGCCAACACACGACCACCTGTGGATTCAACTAGCACAACCCTGGCAGGGCTGGAGCACCCCAAGGCACCTCAAGGCCCAAAACATGGATTGGCTGAGCATCCTCAGCCATAGCCTAAAGAGTGGAGGAAGCCAAGCAGCTTCTGAGAAATCTCTTCCAAGCTTGGTGTTAGAAGAAATGTTGAAACTTAGCAGTGCAGTCCACCTGCCTGGAAGAGAAAGACCAGCAGCAATCAGACAGGGCTGGGAGGAAAAGAAGGAAAAGGACATGGTTTGTTCTCACCAGTGGGAGCCACTGGGTGTCTGGGCAAGGACTGCAGGGCTGAGAGGAGCTTGGTCTTTTGTGTCAACGGGGCTGAAAACACCATCCCAGGAGTGCCCCAGGTCACAGGGCATTGACAAGAATCAGGTGCCAGTCCTGTGCAACAGAGCACTGAGAACCAGACAAACTCACCCCCCAGCAGAGAAGCCCTTCAGTCCTTCAGCCTCAGGACCACCCTTGGGGGAATTCTCTGCCGTGTCTTTGCCCTCAGCAGTCCAAGGTGAGGGTGCCTCTTCTGAAGGAGCAGCTCTGCAGGTAGAGCAGCAGTTCTCCTCACACATGGGAATCCTTGGCTGTCTGGTCAAGGATTGCAGGGCTGGAAGGAGCTTGGCTTTGCCTGCCCAGCCAACTGGCCTGCAAACACCCCACAGGACTGTGCCAAGCCAATGACTCCAGCACTCCAGGACTTTGGACATGGTTTGTGGTAGCGATGACATCTCCTACAATGGAAATTTGGAATTCTCAGCAGCCGTCAAAGTAAATATCCGTGGGGGAATTAACATAAACTCAGCAACCAAAAGCTAACAATGCAGGAATCTGAAACACAGGCCATATAATTAGCTGGTGTGTTTTGCAGCTCATTTCAAGAAATTATGACTTCCGGAAAAGAAAACCTCGAGGCCTGGAGCAGTGAAGGACCAGGCCAATTATTAAACTCTCCCATCTCTTCACTCCTCTTTTCCTCATTCAGAAACAGGTGAGTTGGAAACTCTGTTCTCTTACTTCAGAATGTGGTCTTGCTGAATGGATCCTGTTCTGTGGGCTAGAGGGAAGAGTTCCTGGGTGTGGTTGTTACTTGTAGAGTCCTTGGGACCTAAAGGCCAGCATTATATCTGCCTTCCTACAGAGCATCTAACATAAATAAGTGGGCCTAATATAAGAGCTGCCTGTGCCATCACACAGGAGGAAAGCAGCTCTGCTGGACATGACTCTGCTCTGACAGAGGTGCTGCCCTGGCTCTGGCTGGGTGGCCACAGAAGCTCACCAGGGAGCCTTAGCCCTCTATGGAGAGGCCCATAAGGCTTGTGGCCCTGGCCATCTCCTTGCTCTCCTTCTGCCTGAGCACTGCAGGTCCAGTCCTGGAGCAGTCAGCAGGTTCCTCCCTGGCTGTGTCAGGAGCACGGCCCCCCTGGGGCAGTCTGGCCTGGGGGCTGAACAGAGGCAGCAGTTTACAAGTGGCTCTGGGTGCCTGCCAGGACGTCCAGGGGCCCTTTGAACAAGAGGCTTTTAAGGGTCGAGCTGTGGCCTGGCTGCACCAGTTGGAGGCTCTGAGTGCTGGAAAACCTTCTTCTGGAGCTGGGGAGTACGGGCCAAGCAGAGGTGGCTGATTGTTTCCTTTAGCTGGGCAGAGCAAGTGCTTTACCCACAGGGCAATGGGAGTAGAAGGGCTCCCTGGGGCAGAGCTGTGGGATCCCAGGCAGCCTCAGAGGGTTTTGTTCAAGCCTTTGGGCTGAGGTTTGGAGGCAGCTTTGATGTGGCAGAGAGAGGAAAACACACGGATTGGCAAACTTCACCTCCTGCTTCCTGGGAGCTCCCTGGGCACTTTCTTGATGGGAGAGAGTGAACAGGTCCAGCTTTTCCCATTGGAATTGGTGGGACTGCAAAGGGCAGGTGACACAGGGGTGTCAGGCCGGGCAGGAGCAGAACTGGTGGGACTGTCAACACTGGAGGGGAAAGAGGTGAGTCCTGACACTGCCACAAGCAGGGGCAATCCTTGCTGGAGAATGGAGGTCACAGCTGGCACATGACAAAGGATGTGAGATGGGTTGTCAGCAATGGGTGTGAAAGGAGGAGCCACTCTCTTCACATGCCTTTGGCAGAGAACACAAATCCTCCCTCTCCCCACCTGTGCCGAGGGACCCGAGAGGGAGCTCTCAGGAACCAGAGAACATCTGCCTGGAGAAACTGCCCCTCTCCCAGCTGTAGTGCAGGAAAGGCTGGCAGCCTGACTGGGAAGAGACAACATCCCTGCAAGACCTACAAAGAAGGCGAAAGGGAAGGCAGAGAGAGCTGAAATGCTGCAGAAGCAACCAAACCGCCTGTAGCAGGAGGGCACAAAGACAGGTGGGTGAGGAACAGCCCCTCTGTGCCTGGGCTGAGGGACAGAGAGGCTGTAGCTGGAGATGTCTGGTGGCCAGAGGTTCAGCAGGGACAGGTTGTCTCTTCCCAGTCAGGCTGCCAGCCTTTCCTGCACTACAACTGGGAGTGGGGCCCGGGTGCAAAGCAGGAGT